TTATCTGCACTCTCTTTTAGTGTTCAGGTAATTGTCAAATTGCAATAAAACTTAAGTTTAAACTTGCTTTGACTTTGTGAAAAGTTTTATATCAAAATATATTTTATTTTTATACTATTTCTATCTTCTTTTAAAACATTAACATTTCCACACCCAGGACAAGCTCCCCAATAAAAATTGTGTTTCTGCACCTTATTTCTTTGCAGCTTCCCTTAAAGGCAACTCTTTGCTTTTAGGAACAAATATTTCTTCTTTCTTCATGGCTGTCTGGATCTCATTTTTATTTATTTTTGTGCAACCCTATAGATAATTTGGAAATCCAAATTTTTCTTCTGATAATATGGCATCCCAGATGGGGACTCAAAACTGAACTGGCCAAGGTAAGTTCACACAGCTGGGTAAGTTCACACAACTGGGTAAGTTCACACAACTGGGTAAGTTCACACAGCCAGCAGCAGACCTGTTTGCCTATGGGTGCTGCTCCCCCATTCTGCCTGCTTGTCACTAGTAGTAAAGGCTTTTGAATTTTGAATCAGGCAGCTGCTTGAAAAGAAGAATCTTATAAGTACCTTTCAGGTTTTGAGTGAGTGAATTTTGTGTGCTTGGGGGAGAATTTTTCCTTTCTTTTTTTTTCACTACTCTGCGTTTGCTCTGTGCCTTTCGTAACTACTGCCAAACTCTTGTGAGTTTCACCTGGCTGTGACCAAGAGATTTTGAAGCAAGGGCAATTGGCACATCAAAGGGCTGTGAATCACAGTAGATTGCATGTAGAAAAGTAGAGTGAATGTGATCTGGGTGATTGCCAGTGTCCTTCCATAGCAAAGCCATATGTATATGTGCATGTTTATGTAAGTATGGAGGTGACCATACTTTTTAATAAAAAGTCCTCTTGAATGAGTTCCACTCACAAAGTGATAGGCAGGAAGGAGTTTCCCGTACTGCTTCAAATACAGCCATCTTTCCAAGAGAAAGGCTTGAAAACTGATTGGTGGGTAAAGAAATGGGACTACATACCACACTTAGGAAGTCTCCTTGGGTGTATATGTATACCCCAAACAGTAGTAGGATTCAATTTTTTTTTTTACTACGGGTTCTGTGGGCCTGGCTTGGTGGGCGTGACAGGGGAAGGATGCTGTAAAATCCCCAGTCAGAGGTGGTATTTGCCGGTTCTCCGAACTACTCAAAATTTCCACTACTGGTTCTCCAGAACTGGTCAGAACCTACTGAATACCACCTCTCACTGGAGATAGTGATAGAGTACACGTCAGGCAGGAGAAAGGAAACATGCTTCACATGTTTTCCCAACTTCTCCAATAGGAAAGTTGCTGGATGTCTGGGTTTAGGCAAGAATAAAAAAGAGAAAAGCATAGAATTTATTTTTAAAAAATGGATTAATTTATAGGATAAGACTGATAATTTAATTTGGCAAAACAGTGGTACTTTCAATGGTAATAAAAAAAAACCTTGAACTATTTTCTGAAAAAGTTGTTATTGAGTATAATAATGTTTATACAAGTTTAAATTGAAAATTGGATTCTTTTACTGTCACTGTTTTACATTAAGAAAAGTTAAAAAAATATGATTTAATTATGTTGTTTTTGCTTATCTGTAAAAATAACCTATAGAAAGAAATATATTTCCTTCAGTTTTTTCACCTTACCAGTGTTTACCAACGTTCAAGTAAAAGCTGGAAGCTGAGAAAAAAAGGGGGTGGCTTTTTAATCACTCTCCATTTTGCAGCCTATTCTGAACTTTTGAATTGCTAAACCTTTCTTCCCTCTAAATCTCTTTAAGAAAACTAAACTGTGATGAATAATCTTTCCACCTTGAGTTGCCTGGTGGTCAACAAAGCAATCTGGAGAGAAATCTCTTTTCTCCTTTTCCTTCCTTTTCTTATTCCTTTCCACAAAGAAATGTTTTGAAAATCTTGTGTGAGCATCTTGGTCAAATACATTTTCCTGTCTGTAATTTTGTTTATCAATGCTGCAAGTAGATAATTTAATCAATCCTAACTTTAGTCAGCTGGTTTCTTCAATCAATTCTGGTTAACTTACTGTTTTACTTACCACATGTATTAATTAAGAGGAAGAAACTGCAAACCCACAACACAACAAAGTTTATTTCCCAAGCTCCATATATATGGAGTATATTAAAAGTAATGCTAGCCCAACGCTACTTGTATTTGTAAACTGTATTACAAGAAATGAATGGAATGTATATATATGTATAGCTGCCATATTTATAGCTTTGATTTTCATAAATGTATATGCTTTGCTTGTAAGAAAGTTAATGATTTGTAACTATATGTAGAAAGAGGAGTTTGAGAAAGGAATGCCATGTTTTAGAAGAGTAGTCTAGATAGGATGAAGAGAAGAAGCAGGAGAAAAGCTTATACTGTATATGGTCAGTAATACAAAAGTTTAAGATGTGAGTTTCAGAAGATCTGTAACTAGCATATGATATGTAGCAAAATCAAGTGATTGTCGTATTTTAATCTGGATGTATATTTAATAATGCACATGAAACTATAAAAAGAGGAGTATAGTTGTTGCTAAATGTGTGATAAACTTGTTTTCCTTGTCTTAAAACCAAGGAAAAGAAGGTAAATTTATAATAAGAGTCAGTTAATCTAAAAGCAACAGGGAGAGAAGGGAAGAGGCAATGGATCTGTGCGAATAAAGCTTTGTGTGTGAGTGCAAGTACCGGACACTTACGTGAGTGGAGCTTTACGCATGAGCACAAATGTGTGCTGTTTGCACAAGCGCTCACCCACCATTTGCATGGTCCAATTCTGAATAGGCTGTGACCCAGAAGTGGGACACAGGCCAGGATTTGGAGACCCCACGTCTAAAGCACAAAGATACAAAGTAGAATAATGTGAGCTTAAGTCTTACCTCAGCCATAAAAGTCAGCTTGATGACTTTGGGCAAGTCATTTTCTCTCAGCCATGGGGAAAAGGCACATTTTTGCTTTCCCAACTGTTGTTGCTTAATCTGCATATTGTAGTCTAAAATGCCTAATGTGTTGTGTTGTCTCCATGATAAATGTGTATTCTGCCTCTATCAGTAAACCCATCAACTGTCTTACACGGGAACATTTCAGCATTGTTGACCCGATGTGGGCCAGTAAGAAAAAAAATTTAAAGGTGTGTGACTCTTTTTACCTTTTACCTGTGTTTTACCTTTAAAAAAATCCGTAATGGGTCATGAGAGCACACTTATTGGGTTTCATCTTTGTCCCTTAATATGGCATCTGACAAGGATGAAAAGGGAGGAGCTATTTTATTAAACAGTATTTGATTAAACAATAATCCATCTGAAACATGGGAGAAAAAAAGCTTCCAATTTTTGGATTTCTTGTGGAAGCAACACAAGAAACAAATATATTCTCTTGTACTCACCTAGCTTTGCCAGATTTTATGCTGGGTAATTATTAATAAATGGGAAAGCATTAGATACCTTTACACTTCAAGTAAAAGAAAGTTCAAGTCTTGTTTAAACTATAGCAGAATACAAATAGTCTTATCATAGTAAGGGTGGCAATAGGGCTAAGGCCCAAGACAGAAGACTTACCAGATTTTGAGGTTGCAAAAAGCCCAAATTAGTTATAGCACTGATCATTTTTAAAATATTATTTTGCTAATCTATGCCCTCTGACCATGGAAGTGGAAGCTACTTTGAAATTAAGCCAACTTGAACCTCAATTCGTTGAATCTCACCCATCTAGCAAGGGAACCTTTTCCCAAGAGAAAAGGTTTGCACAACCCATATGTGGTAATGCCTAATATCACCAATGTGGAACATGAATGGACACTTAATAACACGTGGCTCTACTGGATTATAGATGTATGGTGAGGGTTAATGGAACCCTGCCCCACTCACAATAATGCTTACAATTGTAACAATCAATAGACTCTTAAAGGAAAAACTACAGTCAGTTCAGGAAAAGTTATCCAAGCTACTGAAAATTAAACAGCATTGGATTTGATTAGTTTTCACCAACCAAATTGGCCCCCTATTCTTCCTGCTGATCAGCCCAGATGCCAAGACCAACCTACCAGATTGTCATCAATAGAGTTTATTGGATTTATAGTGGGACTCATGGAAGAAAAAGATATAGTGGGATAAAATTTGATATTCATTTGTATGCTTGTAATTATTGGAATAATTTCTCGGTTCATAGAACATAGAAATGCAGAGCTGTTTTTTTTTTCCCTTAACAATGTTAACTAATGAACCAGTCTTTCTAAAGATGTTTCTCTTATGATATTAGCAATAGCACTTAGACTTATATACCGCTTCATAGTATTTTATAGCACTCTCTAAGCAGTTTACAGAGCAGCATACAAACAGACAAAGGGTATGGTTATAAATTATGCCCATTAATAGTCTGTGTGTGTGTGTGTGTGTGTGTGTGTGTGTGTGTGTGTATTGTGTGTGTGTGTGTGTATATATATATATATATATATTGTCCACACACACACACAATTGTGAGAAGTTTTATATCAAACTATATTTTATTTTTTATACTGTTTCCATCTTTCTTTAAAACCTTAACAGAATCCACAGTGGACTTAGAATCACATCTCCATTAATTGACAGTCAAGATGAAACTAAGTTAAACAAGTAAAAATAGCAAAAGGGGCAAAATCTTTTACTCAAACTTCCACAAACCTCCAAATAAGTTACCCTGTCCTAAACCACGTATCAAAAGATAAGATTTGTAAACACAAATTGAGTAATTAAATTAGGTCTCCCAGCAGAACTGCATGTTCTGAAGAAGAAACATCAGAGACATACTTACACACACACACACACACACACACACGCCTCAAGTATTCACCATAAAATTAGCATGTTGACATTATCACACCCAGGACAGGCTCCCTTATAAGAACTGTGTTAGTGTACCCCATTTCTCTGCAACTGTCCCTAAAAGCAAACTCTTTGCTTTTAGGCTTAAATGTTTCTTCTTCACAACTGTCTGGATCTCATTTTTATTTATTGTGCAACCCCAGGTAAAGTTGGAATCCCAAATTATTTTTCTGGCAAGTTTTATGATGAGATGACATATTACATTATTATTAGTGTTAAATTGCATTTAATATTTATTTATTAAAATTTATTTTCTTTAAAAATGCTGGGTGGCTTATGTCTTTTCAAATATTTGTGATCATAATATATGATTAGTTAATTTACACTACATTTTAAAGTTGTCATTTCCCTCCTTTCATTTCCAGAAAGCAAGTAAAAGAAAAATATCCATTTCTTAGTTGTCTGAAACCTGCGAAAATAGTTTAGCATAGTCCATGTTGTTCTTGGCGAAAGGCTTCCTTTGGATTGCTTTTTCCTATTAGAGGAAAGAATTTCCCCACTGTATCAAGGTAAAAGCTTTATCCAATATGAAGTACCCCATTAGTACAATGCAAACACAAGTACCATAGAGAATATTATGGTTCTAATATTTTGAGTTGTCCATAAAAATCTAAAGAAGAACAAGTCTTATTCAAAAGGAACATTTATTAAACATTTCCTTTACAAAGTACAATCAATGTTTTGTTTAAAATTGTGGATTGTTCCTATTTCATTGTATATACACAAAAGCTTAAAAGAGGGGAGAAAATATCCTTATTTTTGTGTTTTATGCACAAACATATTTAATAAAACTTGATCATTACACAGAGAACTTTGCCTTATTAATTTGAATACTTAATATTGGAAAATTAATACCTGATTACTAACACAAAATAATGGAAGGTAACAACTTTCCCATTTGTAAGAAAATACTGTTCACAATTCATTTTGAAGCAGCTTTATTAGATGTAGCTGGTACTACTCTGAATTATATCCAGGTATAAGAATCATATGCCTGTTATATTATTGTCGTAATAAATTCTAATTATAAATCATGATTCAGATTCTTTTCATAACAGGCATGATTCTTCTTTCAAAAAAATACCTTTGCTGTTAGAAAGTAAGATTTGAGGAACAAGGTTTAATAATTTCCTATTAGCAGCAGTTGATAGTAAATGCAACATAAAATTTGTTTTGTCTGTGGTATAACAGTTTCAACTAGTAGACTCATTTATACTACTTGTTATGTGAATGCAAATGTCTGCATGTATTCTATAACTCTGAAACACAAAACAAAAAAAAATAGATTTAAAAAAGCCATTTATTCTCATGGGTGACTATTGCGGCCAGCTAATATGAATGCACTGCTAATGATTGAAAAGTAAAAATGCTGAGAAGTAGATATATACAGAGTTAAAATACAATTCTTATCCTCTTGAGACAGTGTTTCTGTTGACACTGTGTGGAAAGCAATGTCATTTGATGCAAGCTAAAACAACAATATCTGCTCCATTGTCACTGAAAAGACAAGTGAATCTGGAATGTTGAAAAGCAAATGTATCTCCTGCTTCTACTCACAAGGCACATGGGAGGCATGGCACTTACTGAATCTAAGCACAAATAATAATAATAGTTCAAGAGTAGCAGAAATAGTAAATCCTAAGTTACTTTCGTTTTGATTGTCAGAAAGTCAGTCACTTGCATACATCAATGTCCACATAAGCTCGCTGTGTTAAACATGGCTTTCCTGAGAACAGAGCTAGGAATCCTTCCTGCCTTATCATAAGTGAGCATGCTCAGAGCTATGATCACTGTCGTGGCTGTCGTCATTTGCCAGGGAGTCCCCTGTATGTTGGAGACTGGCAGCACCAATGCCAGAAAGTTCTGAAGGGAGCAGAGTGCCTTTTTTCACGTTTACCAATTCTTTCTCTCGGGCTGCAGCTCCCTGTTGCCCTCCTTTTACCCGTTTCCATTTCATCCGTCTGTTCTGGAACCAAACTTTTACCTTTAATCAGAACATGCAAACAAACAAGAACACCATCAGTAAATGGCCACACATCTCTTATCAGGGGAAAAAGCAAACAGCAGGTGCTCGCTCCTTATGTTTTAAATTGCTTAAAATAGGCAATAAGCAACCTATTGGCCCTAGGGCTTGATGGGCCTATGATTAATTTCTGGGATCACTCAGAAGATCCACTCAGATCTCTGGTAAGAGCTATCAGTTGCTCCTTATGTCCTGTTGAAAAGAGAAAAGAAACCTTTACTTGATTTTTATCTCATCTTTACTATTGTTTATAAATAATGCAAGGCAATGAACATACCTAATACTCCGTCTTCCTATTTCCCCCACAACAATCTTGTGAGGTGGGTTGGACTGAAAAAGATTGACTGATCCAAAGCCACCTAGCTGGTTTTTCATCCTTAGGGAAGGACTGGAACTCATGATCTCCTGGTTCGTAGGCCAGCAACTTAATCACTAGACCGAATTGTCAGAACTTGGTGTCAAAGCAATAAGAGGTACTTTTCTTCAACCAGGCTCAGCATATGGTATCCTATAAAAATGCACTGGAAGAAACTATTTAGGATAAAGTCATTGTGAATAAATGCTTATTATATAAAGGTTCTTGTACTTATGTGTTTATAGTTTTCAAGTGGTTTTATGGTATTGCAACTATTGTATCTATTAGGAAATATTTATAAAATTGCATGCCTATTTCATATTGGCCTTGCCAAGGGTATGTTGCTTAAAACCTTACATTGGTAACAGAAAACTGAATTTAAAATAATAATCGGAATATATTTTTTTATTTAACTATTTTTGTGGGCTTCCATTTGTATATTTATAGTTTCCAAGTGGTAGTCTTGTGTTGCAAGCATTGTATTTATTAGCAAGAATTTATAAAATACATTTGAGTCATCTGAGGATTGAAAAGTCTTCCAAGATCCTATTGGGTTTTCTGCCAAAGTGAACTAACATGCCATTATTAATATTAGTTTCACCACTGTTCAGTAGGTGACAGATTAGCTCACCACTGTTATAAAGTGTTGGAGCACAGACATTCATTTGCACCACTAAAAGCAGACAGCCTTATTATTTTTAAATATATATTATTTATACTGTGGTCCTGGAATATCCTGGAATATGTCATTCTTCAGGGAGAAAAGCCTGGATAGAAAATTCTGCACAGTGGAAACTTGTGGAAAGCGGAAAATTGCCATATCCCTGGTTATAGCTAATTATACATGTTTCTGAGCTTTAAAAAAGCAACCTCAAGGACTTTTAGAGCATGATGCATTGAACTAAATAACCACAATATTTCTATATTCTAAAGTCATGTTTTATATTCATGGAATGTATAGATAAGGAATAATTTTGAAATTTTTTTTAAATTCTATTAAAATGATGTTGTTTTTAACTTTAATTTTAAAGTTGAGATTTATAATGCAAGATTGTATAATTCACTTATTTATGTTCAGGCTGCTATTGTAACTAGACTACCTTAAGAATCTAGAAATTGGACATATTGATTTCAGATTGGCAAAAAAACCTTATCCACCATGCTGAGCACATCATTTCTTCTATAAAACATGCCAGAGCCAAAAGGAGCAGGCTAGTAAAACAAATCTGGTCAAATGGGGAATGTATTTAATTGCTAGCTGTTCTAATGTGAAGAAATACTGTTACGCCATCTGTCAAAAGCTTTCATAGAAATTGTCAAAAGATTCATAATGCTTGTTGTCTTCATGTACTTCTTTGGGTAAATTATTTGTGTCATTTTCATAATGAATTTCCTCTAGTAAAATGTTGATATGTTGGCTAATATCAGCTTGCATTAACTGTAATGCTTGGAATAATTATGTTGATGTAAAATTAGTGAATTTAGTAAACTATGGGTTAACTATTGGTATTTTATCAAATCCTTTTTTCATTAGTTTATGCATACATTAACAAATGAACAAACATATTGGAGAAGTGGGGGAGATATTCTTTTGTCATTGTCTATCTCTACATGCTGTATTTATCTGATAGGCAGACATTATTTCATCCTCCACATATAATTAGGCTGTGAATTAGAAGGAAGGGTGGGATAAGATGGGATGAAATTGGATGGGGTGATGTGGCGTGGGTGAAATGGGGTAGGATGGGACAGGATGGGACATGACAGGGCAATCACAGGACAGGATAGAATAGCATAGGGGATAGGGGATAGGATAGTGATAAGGAATACGAGATGATAGGAAATAATAAGATATAGGCGATAAGTATAGATGGACAAAAGAAGGAGAGAAGGGGAGGAGAGAGGAGGAGAGCACAGAGGAGAGGAGAGCAGAAAGGAGCAGAAAGGAGAGAAGAAGATGATAGGAGAAGGAGAGGAGAGAGGAGAGCAGAGAGGAGAGGAGAAAGAGGAGGAGGGGAGAGAGAAAGAAGGGGATAGGAGATGATAGGAGATATTAAGATAGGATAGGATAGTTTTGACTGTCCATTTTTGAAGTGTGGCACCTGACAGGTACTCTCCGCCACATATATTGCATCAAATATACATACACATATACAGGTAGATCTCCACTTACAACCTTAATTGGGTCTGGGACTTCCATTGCCAAGTGAAGCAGTTGTTAACGCTCCAATTTTACAATTTCTTTGCTGGGATCATTAAGCATATCACCATGGTCATTAAGTGAATCACACAGTTGTTAAGTGAATATGGCCTCCCTCATTGACTTTTCTTGTTAATAACAGTAAATGATTATAGGATGCAACAATCAGGGGTGGGCTTCAGCCGGTTTGCACCAGTTCAGCTGAACTAGATGTTAATTTTACATCTGGTTTGGCAAACTGGTAGTTCCAACACCTGGCTGGCCCTGCCCATCCAACCTCGCCCCTCCCAAGAGTCCCCTTGTGGCTCATTTTGGTTCACAGGTAAGCGCAGGGCCCATGCAGAGGCTCAGGGAGGGTGAAAAACGGGAGTCCCAGAGGCCCTGGATGGCTGGAAATGGTCCATTTCTGGCCTCCAGAGATCCTCCAGTGCTCAGGCAGGGCAAAAACTAGGCCTCCAGTGCCCAGAGAGGGCAAAAACCAGGAAGGGTAAAAACCAAGCTTCCTGGGGTTTCCGGAAGGCCAGAAACAAGCTTGTTTCCAGCCTCCAGAGTGTCTCCGGAGTCTGGGAAGGGCAGAATGATCTCCCAGGGCCTTGAGGAAAGGCTCCTGAGCCCAGGGAGGGTGAAAATGGGCTTCCTGGAAGTTCCAGAGAGCCTCTGAAGCCCAGGCCAAGTGAAAACAGTGCCCCTGCAACCTATTTTCGTTCCCGGGGTCTGCAGGAGGTCTACTAGATTGAAAAGAGAGCAGGGGATGCAGCATGATCCCCTGCAACCCATTTTCGCTCCCAGGGTGGTGCAGGAGGCTGACTAGGCCATGCCCATCATGGCCACATTCACCCAACAACCAGGCAGAAAACCAGTTGTTAAATTATTTGAAGCCCACCCCTTGCTACATTAATCATAAAGTGGTTGTCAAGTATGTGGGTTTTGATCAAGCCAGTCTTAAGTTGAACTCATTTATTCAGCACTACTGCATCTTCAAACAATCATTAAACAAATGATTATTAGTTATTGACAATCTGTACAAACCATTCACAGGCAAATCTTTATCGAACAAGGAAGGATTTCACTTAGAATGTCAGCTCTAAATTGATAAGATGGAAAAAGTGGATTTTCTGAACCATTTTTACTGAATTTATTTACTGTTTTGGGTGTACCATTCTTTTGGAATGATGATCAAGTTATATTCACAGTTTCTCTATGAGTATGTATGTATGTATGTATGTATGTATGTATGAATATATATATATATATATGTATACATTTTTGTCTAAAATGATATGTATATGCATGTCCCATATGTATTTTATTCAAAATTCTTAGGCTGTATGTTTTATTTTTCATTTCCTTGCAAGTGCAAGATTCACTTTTTTATTGGGATCAACCAAATATTAATCCATAGATTGTCACAGGAATTCACCAAGCAGTGTGTTGTCTGAGCATCATGTCAGGAACTCAGCAACAATGACTCAGAAACAAAGTCATTCAACTGGCTTTTATGCCAAAGGCAGGATTGGAACTTAATTTCTTGGTTTCTAGCCTGGTGCCTTAACCCTAGACCAAACTGCCTATTTTCTCAGAATACAATTAATACAATATATACAATATTCTAATGTAGCAAAAAATTATCATGTTTAGCTCAAGAGAAATAAGCAAATCAAGAACAAAAATTTAACAATTCTACTCTCACTATGATAAATGGAAATCTGATATCCTTATTCAGCACATGTAGTCCTAAACTAAGAACTATTTACTTAGTGATAAAAGTTACAATGGCATTGAAAAAAGTGACTTATGGCTTGTGCTTATGAACATGACAGCATTGCCACAGTCATATCATCAAAATTCAACACGTGGCAACTGCATGCGTTGCCAACGGTTGCAGCATGCTGAGTTCATGTGATTACCATTTATGGCCTTCTCAGCTGGCTTCCAACAAGTGGGGGGAAGTGACCATGTGATTCAATTGACTGCAATGATTCATTTAACAAAAACAACAAAATGATTTTAAAATTATGTGTGACTCATTTAACAACCTTGCTTAGCAATAGAAATTCTGGTCCCCTTTATGATTGTAAGTCAAGAATTACCTCTAGTGGAAACAAAAACTGATAATACAAAACCAGCAATCTTCCATTATATCAAAATATACTCCCCTAAACTGGAGACTCTAAAATTTTATGAAGCTTAACTGAAGGAAATCTAAGTCACATTTCTGTAAAATCTGAATTGTATCACAAAGGAATATAAAATCACTTTGTATTTTGAACAATGAAGTTAGAAATAATACAAAAGGTCAGATGCCTGGTCAAACTAAATAGCTCTTAGATTAATCAGTTGGTAACCTTCAGCCTTAATTATGTTCAAAAGTAAATAATCATAGCATATTACTAATAGATGAAAGAG